GGGCTAAGCGAGCGGTGGGGCTAAGCGAGCGGACGGGCAAAGCGAGCAGACGGGCAAAGCGAGCGGTTGGCTCACACCCGCTTCATCGGCCATCCCAGTGGGATGCTCTTGTGGCTCAAGGAGCACAAGCTTTCGTTCTCAGCCCCACCCCCGCAGGGGTAGCTCATCGGCCCTTGTTCATGGGGAGCTGAGAGAGAACAAATATATTCCCTGGGTCCCCGCCCAGCTGGGGGATAGCACAGCACTAACCCCATCCCCCCCCCCCCCCCCCCCCCCCCCCCCCCCGGGACCCATCTCTGCTACAGAGACGACTGAGCCAGGTCCGATGGGCCCTGCAGCGTAACCAGGAATTTTCCAGAGCTTTCCATGGGTCAGGGCAGAGCTAAGGGCCAGGCTACCCGCAATCAGGTGCCTTTGTACTGGAGATGGGCCCAACTATCCTGTCCCAGCATGCACTGGGACTCGCATGAGCATGGGCATCACCAGCCTGGATCAGACCCCGTGGGCCCGCTAGCCCAGTCCCCTGGCCGCTCCCGCTGCATCTGAGGGAGGTGCAAGAAACCCCCCAGTGGCCAATTCTGGACTAACCTGCCCCTGGGGGGAGTTAGCCCCTAACGCCGTGTGGGTCTGGCTGGAGGGCTGTGTCCTTTAGACTGTTTTATTGCCCTCCACCATCCCTACGTGACTCCGGACATCAGCTCCCCCTGCTGCCACACAGACACTCTCCAAGCCTGAACCAAGAATTTTGCCATTACTGTATGTAATTGATTCCATTTAACCAAGTCTAGCTCTCATCTCTATCTTTTTCCTTTTATGAATAAACCTTTAGATTTTAGATTCTAAAGGATTGGCAACAGCGTGATTTGTGGGTGAGGTCTGATTTGTATATTGACCTGGGCCTGGGGCTTGGTCCTTTGGGATCAGGAGAACCTTTTTTATTTTAATGGGGTATTGGTTTTCATAACCATTTGTCCCCATAACGAGTGGCACTGGTGGTGATACTGGGAAACTGGAGTGTCTAAGGGAATTGCTTGTGTGGCTTGTGGTTAGCCAGTGGGGTGAGACCAAAGTCTTCACTGTCTGGCTGCTTTGGTTTGCCTTAGAGGTGGAAAACCCCCGGTCTTGGGCTGTAACTGCCCTGTTTTAAGCGATTTGTCCTGAATTGGCACTCTCAGTTGGGTCCCGCCAGAACCGCATCGTTACACAAGCTAAACAGGCAAGACGTGGCGGGAGCAGGAGCCCCGTTTTCCAGCCGGGGACCCAAGGCACAGGGTGGTGGAGTGATTAGTCCAGGGACACCCAGGGCAGCTGTGGGGGAGCTGGATTGAACCGGGTCACCCAGAGGTGGTGTGGGGCCAGGACGCTGACCAGGGTTAAGGTGGAACTCGGTGCATGTGACCCCAGGATTAGCTGACGGGGTCACCTGTCACTGCAGGGACTGGACGTGGTGACTCAGGGGGGCCTTTCCAGCCGACGTGCCTCTGTCTCCCGCCTACAGCCCTGCCCTCCAGTTCTGACGACCAGCGTCGGTCAGCTGAGAAAACAACGGGCCCCTCTTGCACTGGGAGGGGGGGGGCAGCTCTCCTCCTGCCCAGGGGGCGGGCGCACCGCTGCATGCAGCGCCGAGGGGGGGGAGAGCGGCTCCTTGCGCAGCACACACAACCAGCAGGGGGCGGCAGATGGCAGCAGCAGGGAATGCAGCCACTGCTGTGCTGACCCCAAGCACAGGGGTTTCACTGACCCCACCAGATCTGCAGGCCCTGCCCAGCCAGGAGCCCCCTTGCTGCCTCATGGGGCTACAGGCTCCCCAGGCTCCCAGCCTGTCCTTGATCCAGTTCCTGCCCCAGCCTTGTTCCAGCCCCTTCTGTGCCCTCCCCTGACCCTGTTCCTGACCCGCTGCAGCCCTGCACCCACTCCTGACCCCGACCCTTGGACTGACTCCAACCCGGCTTCGACCCTTGGCCGACTGCGATCCTGATTGAGCTAGTCCACAGGCTTGGAGCTCAGGTCTGACCCAGGAACTGTCCCCAGACCCCGGTTTCAGCGCTGGCCTCAGCATGGTCCCGTCTCTACAGCCAGCTTCGACCACCGCTCCACCCACCAGGCCTAGCCTGGGTGGGCTTGGGTCTGGTTCAGACCTAAAGATTTGGCCCAAGCAAACCACTATGCCTGACTCCAGTCCACTGCCTTAACTGCAAGGCTACGCTGCCTCTCAGATACACCCGGCTTAGGGGAAGCCAACGTACGGTGAGCACTGCCTCTCATCCTCCTGGTGCTGCCTTGTCTGACTGTCGTCTTATGCTGAGCTTGTCAGCTCGTTGGGGTGGGACTACGGTTTGGTCAGTGTTTGTACAGCGCCTGGCACAACGCCGGACAGCTCCGCAGTCCCTCGGCGCTAGGATGATACAAATCAGTACTAAGGTTTCTAGCGAGGCTGGGCAGAGAACCCTGGGCTGCCTTTAAGCCGGCATCCCGGGTTCCCTACGAACCCCCTCGTTTTCAGCCACTCACTGCTTTTCCCAGCACTCCCCAGCCTCAGGCCCTGCCCCGAAGGCGAATTTCAGTTGGGGAAACGAGCTGGTTCTGCCATTCCAATTCTCGGGGCGAGACACAGCGTGTGAGTGAAACGGCCACCGGCCTTCCGGGAACTAGTGCGCTTCATGCTGCAGCGCGTGCGTCCATTCCTCTGCGGTGTGTTCACGTCCCAGGCAACGGTGCCAGCGAGTTTGCCCGAGCGGCATCAGCAGGAGCAGCCCTGCCTGCACCCTGGCATCGCTCGTGTCCTGAGCCACAAGAACCCAGGGTGGAGCCATC